CACTTAATTTCCATGGTGAGGCTATAACTTAAACAAACGCTATATTTCACAACGAACGAACGATTCACTCGCTTAGCTCAATTGTTGACTGTATCTCTGTCTGCAATTCAATTACATTTCATTGTTGCCATCACTTCTTGGTGGTCTAATATTCATGAATACCGCATATCTAGTAAACACTCGAGCATTCACGAACCTTCGAGAATATGACTTGTTACTAGCGTCACGTGACCCCCTCTGTCATAACACTTGTAACGTCGAAACATGTAGAGTCATCAACTTTTTGAAGGCCATAGATAGGCCTAAATAAAATGTTTTTAATTGTGTACCAGATTAACATTGAATATTATTTATGATTTTAATTTGTATATACATTTGACTTGTTTTAATATAGTATTTTAAATCATGTGGACTGTATACTATTTGTTTATTGTTAAAATTTAATGCCAACAAGTCACAGGCACCTACTGTAAAGAATCCAGTCCACATAAAACTTGACAGTTTTGATCAAAATTTCTGCTTCAACTTCTGTCATGGGAATATTGTCATTGTGATATAGGTCTAAATCTGCAGTTAACAAACGGTTTATTTGCACATCTGTATCTGAAAAAGGAAGAGAAATATGAAAAAAAAATTGTTTTTTACATCATAATTTCATCACACCGAGAGAAATATGTTCTTCACTGGGAGGCCAGTAGAGCAGCTGAAAAACTGGAAGACTCCCTGGCAAACCTGAAAGGTTGGAAGATTTGAACAAAATGTAAGTAGTTTAAAATGCAGTAGCCTTGTAGAAATTTGTGGGGAGAAACCTACAGAGTGCTATAAATTGTATTATTTTCAGGTTGTTACAGGTTTATTACTACTTTGCATGTATCATACATTTAGAATGAACAAAATAACTTACTCCTAAATTATTATATCTGAAGACAGGATTTCCTCTCGCTTTCATATACTTTTGCCACAAAGTTGTAAGACAACTTTATGTGTTAGTTTGAAGTATTTAACCCTAGAATGCCAGCACGGTTAGTTTTGTACACAGGTTTAACTTTTATGTGGACATAGTGACCCCACACTGGAGTTCTAGAGTTAAACATTTATAACTCAATAATATTGTAGAATCAATATTTTGCCATATTCTTATACTTATGTAAGGTAAATAATGAAATAAAAGGCTAATATTTTCATTTCTGCCTGTAAACAAAAGAATGTACTTCTTGATTTCTTTGTAGAATTATTCTGCCCATCCCAAAGAATAACATTGTTATTACTAAGAACCTATCATTTCCTGAAAATATATTATCCATTTCTTGAATTTTCTATGTTTCCCTTAGGTTTTGTAAAAGCCTTGGTTGAAACCTTACTATAGAGCCAAATCAAATGGTTTAATCATTTATTAATGAAACAAAGCTTTGAAAGTGGTTATCAAAACAGTTTAAATAAGATTGGAGAGAGCATGAATTAGATTATCCCATATTAATAAAGTAAACATATAGGTTTAAGATTTTGTTTTATGGTTTCTTTAAATGTTCCTTTCACTGTGAATTGGGAAAGTAATTGTGTGTTAAATTACATTGTTTGAAAGCTACAGAAATGTCTTCAATATGAAGAATCAGATAAATTGAAATAAGCTAGGTAAGCTTATAGAGCTTAGAGATTAGTGGAATGGGTAACAAAGAAAATTGTATTAAAAGTTTAGCACAGTAATAAATGTAAAATATTTAGAGAAGGTTTTGTCATCATCAGATTAAAGTAGTTTACTCAGACACAATTTTTCTAAACAGGAGGTGTTTTTTTCTCTTTCTTTCACCAAATAAAATAAAATAATAGTCAAATCAGATAAGTTTACTGTTTAGTGAGTATGGTAGGTGATTGCAAAATATTATAACTCAAGTATTTACTGAATATTGTTTTTTATGTTTATCTTATTTAAACAATGTACATAAATAAATTAGACTTCCTAACTGGCTACTTAATTATTTGTAACTGTAATTGTGACATGTTTTAAAAAAAATATTATTTCCCTTATCAAGAAGGTAAAACATGTTTCATTACTTAATCATCAATATATTTTATTTAGGGAAGCTCAATGTGTGATTACTGCATATTTGAAAAATAAACAATGGCAATTACATGGTGGTATTTAGTCAATATGAAAGATTTAGCTGCCTAGTGAGAAGTGTCCATAAAACTTGTGGGAATATATATTTTTTTTTCACAAAAAATTTGTTTTTTACAAGTACATAAAATGATCAATCATACGAAATCGTGGATAATTAAAAAATCAAAACAATGCAAAAAAAATAGAAAAAAAACAATACCACATTAGATAATTCATTGGTTGAAAAAGTTAAAATGGTAAGCACATACCCATTTTTTTTTGGCACAGGTTGTTAGGGGCATGGTTTACTAATTGATGAGCAAATACCACTAATCACCCAGACATAACTGATGAGATCTCTAAATTTACATTGTCAAGATGATGGTAATGTCTAGTACAAATTGTGAATGGATAGAAAAAAAAGCAGTGTAATACTGTTTGGGATAAATGGTGACAAATATGGGCCACATGACTGATAATAAGCCAAAATACTTATATATGCAGTTTAGGGTAAAGACAGTTAGCTGCAATATAAAAAAACTGAGAGAAGAAATAAACATGTATGCATGTGTTTATAGCAAGCCATGCTCTCTAAAGGTACTGTAAATAACAGCACATGGCCAGCTGTTGCTGACACCAGAAGTACATGTGTCACACATTAATGTGGTTCACCTGAAGATGCACAGTACATAAAAAGAGAAATTTCATTCACAGAATCATGGCTTCAAAGTGTATGATATTTAAACAAAACGTGTGTAGCATAAGCATGCCAGGTGAAAACAATTTGTTAAATGAGATTTGTATAACGAAAAAAGTATTTTCTCTACTGAAAAACTTTTATAGTACTAGTACTCTTTACTGTATTTGACAACTTGCTGCTCTCAACCTACAAACTTAGTCTTTTTATGCAAGCATTTAACATTTTCTCTAATTATTTGAACATTCACTGAAAAGTTCTTTTCTGCAGTATATAGTAGAGCATATTGAATACTGGAAAAGTATTAGTGAGAAATTAACCAAGATACTTCCAACAAACTTCAAAAATCAAAGTTCAATTTTTTGGCCATTCTTCACTCAAGAGAACAAAAATTTCTATATCTAACCAATTCAAACAACTAATAAAGAGGCTTTATTGCAATTTTCAATCTTTCTTGGAGTTTAAGCTAGTATTTTGATTAAAGAGATATCTACCTAACTCCTTGAACTTATAGTCAGGGATGAATACTACTAGTTTTTGAGCAACCATTTTTTGCCATAATATATCCCCCAAAACTAAGAACAATTTTTCTGTTTGTATATGTCTTTCACAACTATTAATTTTTTCAAGTTCCTCTCTTTCTACATTCCACAGTCACATGAAAAACAATGAAATATCAAACATCTCTCTCAGATTTTATAATTTTATGTAATGAATAGATACAACATTTTTAATATGTAAAAACCCATTAAAAAATAACTGCCTTCTTTTAAATCTGTTACAATTTTCCTTTACCCTGTAATATTTTGGAATGAGCTTTTTTCAACTTCTTAATCATACTTTGGCACCATCCATATTTAAAAAAATATCTGCACAGGATAATTTGGACAAACCATTTCTTACCATATTTTTTAATTATTTGCCTAAATATATTCCCATATTATCACGTACTATAACAGGCTAACGTGCCAATTTTTAAGTTCATTTCTGAAAAAAAAACCTGACATAGAAGGGGTTAATTTCGACAGAAAGTTACCTTGAGTTCATTTGCAATTTATATATATATTTCTTCTCTCACTTTACCAACACGCTAACGCCAAATTCTGTGCCAAGCAAATTATTGTTGATCTGAAGATTGTGTAATGTTCCGATAGAAACTTCAAATGATTTGCTGTCTCCAACCAAAATAACTGTCAACTAGTAATCTGAGAAGTCCCTATCAGGTTCCACATGTTGAAAGGCAGCCAAAATTGGTAATATTCTAATTGCAGTTGTTTTCTATAATTTTTTAGAAAATATGTATATCCTTAAAAACATCTGTAAAGCTCTCTTTCACACAAATTATCTTTAGTTAACTTAAAAGGAACAGTTCCACCACATGCACAAATATTGTACTTGATAAGATACACTTTCAACCTCATTATAAATTTTTAAAAGAGAATAAATTCATCATCATCATTTATTGCTCACAGAAATTTTTTTTTACAAAGCATGACCACCAAGGATGATATTTATTCTTGCATTCTCTAGTCAAGTGAAAAAATAGCAAGACTTGTACCAGTCGAGTTAGGTTATATACTATATATACTGGTTCTAATGCTATTTGTCAAATTTACATTCTGATGTGTATTAATTACATATTGTGGAATTCATTATTCACATAAATTTTGGATGAAAACATTGGTGTCCAAATATTGTTTATTATAGTGATTATAATGAATAATATATTTTGTTTGTACAGTGGTTGATAACAGTAATTGTATTAAGTTAATTGTTTATATAGATGTTTGTAATAAAAAAATACTTTTGGTCTTGAAAACAGGTAGTTAAATTGCATAGCTATAAAACATTACTCACACTGGGCAACTGCAAATACCAAGTTTCTTTCAGGTACAAGTCCAACTTTTAATTTTGGAGGACCAACCAGCCAATGTATTATAGAAGAGAGTCCATTTCTTCTAATAACTGGTTTAATTGACTTCTGTGAAAAATAAAAATTAATTCTGTTAATATTTTTTTGAATAAATATTATTCTCTTTTTGATACATTGAGCTTCAAATATTCTTAATATTACACATTAATAGTAAATTTTCATGCACAGTGACACTAAAAAAAAAAAGAAGCACTTGATAGTTACAAACTAAGCTAAACAGTTATCAATTTCTTGTACTTTTTAATATGGAATGCCTGGTAATAGAAACTGATTGTGGTTCAGGGTTAACGAACAATGCTAAAGGTGCCACTACTTGGACAGTTTGTAATAGAGAACAAATAAGTATATGTAAATGGCAACTTGTTTCATGCTAGTACTGAATTCTTGTAGAAATATATTATATTTATGTAATCATACATCTTTGTATGTGTGAAAACCTAACTGATCAGGCAGGAATGTCACCAGTTTTTTTTGACACCATCACCCAGTGTTTCCTTCTGTTTCTGCTGTACAATTTTCAAAAGCTACAGCATACTACTTTGCTTCTCTTATACAACGTTATTTTTCAACTTGAGTCACACATGGCATAATTACTTTCTTTTTTTTTTTCAATGGCTGGATACAACTTCTGCATTGTACATACAGATGAACAGTAACCTGTTTCCTGTTATTATCAAATTCCTAATTGGATTTATGTCTCATAAATGTTTAAATATACGAACCCTACCTTGCAGTATGATATAAACTATATTCAATTTTGAAAGTAGAATATTAAACAGTGTTCTTAGCAATAAAGGATGTAAAAGTTGGAATCTTTAGGAACTGAAAACTCCAGACATATGAACAAAATTATCAACTTTTTGAAGGCCCACAGAACTGTGTAAAAATCTTTGAAAAACATTTTTTAAATGCTCACCAAAATGCTGAATAATGTTTATTCTTTACACCAACAACCAAATGAATTAGATGCAAATGACAGAATATTACACATTCTAATTTCATTGAAGACACTAATATTTAGAGTTAAACCTTAAAAAATATTTTTTTTTAAAATAGGAACTTTTAGAATCCATCTATAAGACTTGCTATAAAATGAACAGTGTAAGAAATTTAACTTTATGTAATCCATATATAACATTGCTTTAAAATATTCTTGTTGTCAGTGTTTCAAGAAGACAAGAAATGATTCATGAATTATTTGTAGCTTTAGTTAATGCATCACTCTTTATAATATGCTTTATATATCAATGAGTGAGATATTTAACTGTGACCTGCGAGTGTCTTAAATTTAAATCTCTTTATTTACTATTAAGTAATCACATACTTAAGTTTAACTGTCTCTTTAAAACCATTATGTATGAGCAATGAACTGCTCATGCCTATTGTCATATATCTCCTGATAGTTCCAGAACTTTTGGAAGCAAATAGTTTACACATTTTATTCTTGAAGTTCTATTTGTATTACTAATCTTTCTAAGTTAATTTTAGAATCAAGATTTTATGGTCTATAGCGTATTGTTTTCAGTCCCCACCACCACCCCATTTTTTGTAAAACTGAAATTGAGATTAGAGTTATTTTTCTCCTTATAGAATCTCTTTGGTTGTTTCTACCTTGAGAATACTTATCCCTCTGTCTCAGTTTTGTATTTTAACCTCACATCACAATTTGGCCACTGACTCAGGTTTGCTACAGCCATATAAATAGGGCACTCCAAGATTAAATGTCAGAGACATACAATGACACCTTCAACAAGATTCACCAATCATCATGACATTAAAGAACCTTAATTTACCTTCATTTCAAGACTTCCCCCCTGTTCTACCTGGGATTATCCCTGATACATATGTGGTATATGAATATACCATGCATTTCTATATTCTTCTAATGTAACAGCATTTATTCTGTATATGTGCAGGTTTCACATAACACATGATCAAGAAAGCTGTTAAGTTGATTTCATTCTAGCTACTTTTGTTTCTTCATTGTTTTTAGTAGACAATACTTGTTCTGCCTGTGGAAATATTGTTGCAATACTGCACACTTTGAAAAGATTCCAACAACATCTTTCTTCAATAATTATTTAGATGACATCCAGAGGTTACGAGCTCACCTATGTTGGAATGAAAATGACCAGTCACATGGGTAGTGGCAGTCACTCTGTGTAAATATGACATTTCTTGCTAACTAAGCAACATTGTATTTAATCAGTCTGTTTGTTTCATAGTTTCAGGTTGAGCAGTTTAATATGGAGAATCCAGAAGAACTGACTGTTATTTGTAAGAAAGAGAGCAAGTACATACATTGTGTTTAAAAACTGGTATATCAATGACTGTTCATTTTGTATTTTACTTTATGTCAAGTCTCTTTATTTCATTCATTTTCAAGACTCAATTACTCAGACTTAGCATTACTTTGTAATCAGTACCTTAACCAGATTTCCTGCTAACACTATAAAAAGAAAGTTGGACATTTTGATCAACCTTTACAACTGTGAAATTACACATGCTATAACTTTGAATTTAACATGTATCATCACAGAAATTTAGCAAACTTTTGGTAAATAAGTCTGTTGCATACAAAAAAAAAATCAGAATTTTTTATAAAGATCTGTCTTGGAATTTCCAAAGCCTTTAGTGAGACAGTTCAAGTGAAAGGTGATTTTCATAGTAAGAATGAAAATACTTCTTTTCATCTTACAGTTTTCATATTTGCATAACCTCTTGACTCTTCTAACTTAATATCTAGTTTTTTTCCAGTAGAACTTCATATTTCATCTCTTAATGTCTCTATCCTAACACTAAAGCTAGATAAATCATCAATTTACAGTAAAATATAACGTTGAAAAATGTGAAATAAGATGAATAACATTTTCCCCTCTGCACTGACTGCAGTATTGATAAAAAAAAGTCCCACATTACTATCTTAACAGTCTTAATCTATTCACGTTTTTTTTTACTTTTATGGTATTATTGCTGTAATTTGTACCCACTGGAGCTGTAACCTTTGCATCCAAAGCAATAAATCCCAGTAGCAGCCCATTAGGTGTTTCTCATAAAGCTAAGATATACAGCACATAATCCAGCATCATGTTTCATAGTGACACTCAAACTACTGTAATTTTATCCATTTTATTTCACCAAAGTTTACTTAGGCTAAGCTGAAAAATTCATAATTTGTACATCTTAAATACTGTTACGTATCTGCTTGTTTGTTAATTTCCCATAGAAATTCTACCCGAGAAACTTCAGCAATACAAGTCCTTTCTTGATTAACCAAGTTTATTCTTCCTCGATACAAACTTTTAGCATACAATAATTTCACAATCAGTACATTTCTCGTCACTTTAAACTTAAATTTAAATACATTTATAATAACTTTTATAAATCACAGCGATTCACAAGCTCGATAACTTCGTTCTATGCGACGACTGCAAAACATACACAATTTATGGCTCACCATCACTACAGTTCGGTTGTCTCAATTATTTCTCTATATCTATATCGCTGGTTTTCTTTGCCAGGCTTATATACTAAAAAAGAGGGCATCTAGCAAACACTCGGACATTCACGGGGTTCCCCGATAATTCGAGAAACAACAGCGCACATGCTCCCAGCATCACGCGACTATAAAGAACAATAGCAGTGTCTTTGTGAATTCTACGCATTTCATTTTTACAATTAACTACAATTAACAAAGTCCACAATTTTGCCAATTTCAAACTCTACTATAAAGTTTGATCATTTCGAATTTCTTTTATAACTTTGTGTATGATATAAAACATATTAAAGAATAAATTTGTTATAAAAAATACAGCCTTCCCTCAAATTACATGTTTTAATAAGCAATTTACAAATAGCAATGTGTTCAGTAACTGAAATTTGATGCTCTTCTGGAAGACCAATGATGATAATTGTATTTCCAAGTTTTCTAGAATGTAACACTTGAATCCCCAACAATGAAAATATATTTTTGATAGATATTTACCTTCTTTCAAAGTTACAATTCTCGATTTGATTGTCCTATAATGTGCAAATTTTCTTTCACTACTAGCCTTGAAATTCCCACCTAATTCCATGTGTATACTATGTGGTTAAGCTGCATTTAAGCATGCAACAGTCCATCAATAGGAGTGTGGCAAACCCTCCTATCATAGCTGGCTTCATCTATGCAGTTGAACCCAATCTTCACTTCGATTCTGGAAGTGGGGAGAATGGGTGGGAAATATGAGAGGAGGTATCTATCAGAAATATGTTTTAAGTATAGGAAAATATTAATTTCTGATATGATTACTTACCTCCGCTCACAGTTACAAATAGAATTCAACATTGAGCAGGTGTAGGGACCAGTGTAAAATTACCTTGATAAGCACCATTTAAAAGCATCTGAAGAGCACCCATGGAACCTCTATGTAGAGGAAACACACCCATGAAAGGCTGCATCACATCTGAACCAGGTATATTCTTCGCCCATGTGGAGCCAACAGGTGTGGTGTCACAATCATAGGGCGTAACAAGGTAACAATTCCAAATCCCTAAGGAAGAGGAATGTGTGTAGAGTGGTTAGAGCACATCAGACCATAAGGAAGAAGTCAACTCAAGGCCAGACCAGTGGCACTAGGAGGAACTCAACCAGTCCATGGTAGGAGGAAGGTCCTCAACCATTCACATCATGTCTAGGAACCAGAAGAGAAGAGATGCCTCTGGATGATGCAAGGAAGTTGGAAATGCAATGTAGTGGGTTTATTTTAGTCCAAATCCAGTTAGCATTGAGGATGTAACATTGGAGGAGGTTCCCAGCCCATTCATATGTGAGGATTTATGTTGGCTGGTCCATCTCCAACCAAAACTAGTCACCCAGGAACTGACATCCAGGCAGCAGTATGAGGGAGGTTTGCCAGCCAGAGGGACTAACTCTGGAGAGCAAACATCAGACCCATGGCAGAAAGATAATCACACTTTCTATACATGCAGAAAGCCACCATCTTATTCCCGACTGAGTGGAATTATGCACATTCAGGAGGATTCATCCATGATCCACCACCCCAGTG